ATAATACTGAATGTAGCAACAGAAAGTAGGAGAAAAAATTGGACAAAAACAATACAACGGGGCTTCCCTGGTGGCGCAGTGGTTGAGAGTCCGCCTGCCGATGCAGGGGACACAGGTTCATGCCCCGTCCGGGAAGATCTCACATGCGGTAGAGCAGCTGAGCCCGTGAGCCATGGCTGCTGAGCCAGCACGTCCGGAGCCTGTGCTCCACAACGGGAGAGGCCACAACAGTGAGAGGCCCACGTACCCCAAAAACAAACAAACAAACAAAAAACAAAATAATACAACGGTGTTCTTTAATCTTGAATATTTTTTTTTGCATGACTACTTACTAACATAAAAGAATATGGTGTCATATATATTACCTATGATTCAGTTATATAAATATATACAATGTAGGATTAAAGTAAATGAAATTAAAATTCATAATTCTGGGCATATTTATAATGCTAAATAACAGTATATAAAACAGTATGTAGTAATGAGTATAGCATAAATAAGCATTTAATTATTACTTATTTTTCTATGAATAATGTTATTATGAAACAGGGAATGGGACGAAATGAAATTTGCAGAGTAAATGATGATACTGAGTCTGAAATACATCCATTATACCTATGCTGGAATTTATCTGGTTAAATCAGTGCTCTGTTTACACATTGCTGACCATCTGCTCTGTCACCTAAAGTGATCCGGTTATGAAACAGTATCCAAAGATATCTCATCTTCTGTTCCTTGTTATTTCTGCATGTCAACATAACTTTAACCAGCTAAAAAAAGTAAATATTCACTACCAGCTTAACCTCTAGGATATGTTAATGAAATTATATTTTAGATTCATGGCAGCATATTAAAACCTTTTATAATTAAAAGTAGTCATTTATAAACTTGCTACATCTTCTGTCAGAAAATGAAAGCCACTTTCTAAGTAACAGTAAATATGTTGTTAAATAATGACTAGTAAGTAAACTTTAAAAGTAAGAATTTGGTAGCAAAGCATGTGAATATATTTATATAAATATATGTATATATTTAATATACATACAAATTACAGGGAGAGATAGTGAAGGTAAATTATTCAAAGAAACTGTAACAGAAAAAAGCCAGATCTGACTCCATGTTGGATCCGTTTCTTTTACTTTAACCTTTGCTTCCCGTTGCTTTTGTTCACTAAAAGGATACTGTCTGTACATAATGGCCTGCCTCAGGGAACCCTCCCCCTCTGCCTGAATGTTAAACCAAAGTGCCTTTGTTCAGGGAAATATCTGTGGATGGCTGCAAGAAAGGTGAAATGAACACATCCCCTCCCTGAGGCTGGCCATCCCAGGGGATATTTGCAAAACTATGACCTTTTTACTTTACTTCCTCATCCCCTCCCTCTCTCTGTGCTATAAAAGAAACTGGTATCCAGACCCCCATAAGATGTTTTTTCGGAGACACTAGTCTGCCATCCTCTTGGTCTGCCGGCTTTCTGAATAAAGTATTCCTTGCCTCAACACCTCATCTCCGATTCATTGGCCCGTCGTGTGGCAAGCAGAGCGAGCTTGGGCTCGGTAACACAAATACTTTTCTTGTAAAGTAATAACGACATGTGGAGGAAGCCCTGACAAACCAAAGGAAGAGAATAAATTGACCTTCTATGCAAGAATCTAATGGACAAAAAGTCTGCACGTTTTCAATATGGACAAAAAGTCTGCACATTTCGCTAGATTAGCCTAGGGGAAAAGCACACTTTAATTTTCTGTGTTAAAATACCAGTGGATTTAAAGAAGGGGTTATATTTAACCATCTTTAGGGGGCAAATATCCTCTTAGATTATAACTAGACATGAATTACAAAACAGCTGAATGTCTGAAAAATATCTATTTGCTATAAAAGAATTATTTAGAAGATAAAACCCAGTTATCTCTCAGGTTAATGATAAATTGCATATTGCCAGTGTAATAAAAGGACTCCAAGAATCTTGAAATATATTAGGATTAAGAGCATTGATGAAAGAATTAAAAAGTTTAATTCAATGGATACTTGTTATTGTTAAGCCTTCATGGGATCACAGAGAACAAGAAGATGCTCAGTTTTCAAGGAGCTTTAAACTTAGAGAGGAAAAGTTTTATGACCAATTCTCCTATCCTTTCACTCTTACTGATTGCTTTTTTGGTTACTTGTTATTCCTTTTATGGTCTAGTAAGAATTGTGAGAGAATAGAAATTTTCTCTTTTCCAGAATACCTTCCTGGTTTGAAGTACTCTGAAAAGTGCCATTCTCTACTATTAAATTTATTTGCCAAATGTTTGTTTCTTGAGCCTGGTTTTGTCAGTCTTTCTATCTGATTATATGTTTCTCAAGAGCAGCAGTCAGAACCAATGGCTATTTTACGAATTTTTATAAAGCCTAGGAAAATGTTTTAATATAGTGACTGCTTAAAACTGTTGATCATTGTTTGTCTGATGATTAATAAATAAAGGAAAATTGACTTTTTTCTCGTTAATAAGTGATTTTATAAAGTGCCCTGAAAAACTCGAAGTGCATTATTTTCCTCATCATATCATTATATGGTGTAAGTAAACAGAGTCGGTTAAAAATAAAGAAATAAGGAGCAGAATTATGTTGAAATAGCTTGTCACAAGGTGGCACTGCTGTCTCAAATATGAGGCTATATCTACCCTTTCTCTTCTTCGGGGTGATCTTTTAAAATATTTAAAATGCTTTGAAAATACTTCGTATTACCTTAAGGAGTTTAGATCTCAGATAAACTTTTAGAGTAGCATCCACAATTAGTGTTACCTATTGGCTATAATTTTTGCAGATTTTTTTTTTTTTTTATCAAGATGTGTAAAATTCCCAGTCTCAAACATCCAACTTTGATTGAATTTAGATATACTAATCTAAGGGAAAAAAATAAGCAGACAGACATATTTCAGTCCATAATACTTCTATTTTTGACTTTCATCTCTTCTTTATTGACTTCTTAAGAAAATAATCAATTTCATAAAAAATCATTGTTAGGGTGTGACAATCAACTTTTGTCCATTAAGTTAGTAATTACTATTATTTCTAGGAAAGAGAAAAGATTTAAGATTCTGAATTGGTATTTTGAAAAGAAGGCAGTGTCATAGAACTTACTACCAAAGCACATCTCATATGCACAAAGTTGAAATCAGAACTGAGTAAAATACCATCACACGCTCTTACATTCTCTGTGAGAAATATTCATTGAGGCTTATTTTCACTGTACATATGATTTCTCTAGCTATAGTTACAAATACAGAGTATCACTTTTTTACATGAATGCAGTACTTTCAGAATAAAGTATCTAAGCTATAGAAGCCAAAAGGTGAGAGCTGATGCTCATTAAGCAGGCTGGAAAGACTAATAAGAATAAACGTTTGCTAAAGGCAAACAGTCACCTTCATAAGTTTAAAGAGAAAAGAATAATGCTAAAAACAACCTTCCTACCTGAAGTTACCAAGAGAGATAGAAATAGTTTAAAAGTACATTTTTAGAAAGAATAGCAGAACAGCTTTTAAGCTCAACAAATTGTATGTTCTTAAGGAATAATTCAAGTTACAGTTCAAACCTTGAATGAACCTGCTTGCCATAGGTAGATAACTTGTGTTTGTCTCTGGATTTAACACATGGTTTGGTCATGCTAGCATGCACGGAAGGTATACCTTCTGCAGTTAGTGTGGAATAAGCCAGTCCTCTGAATATTATTTTTTTATTTATTTATTTTTTTGCAGTACGTGGGCCTCTCACTGTTGTGGCCTCTCCCGTTGCGGAGCACAGGCTCCGGACGCGCAGGCTCAGCAGCCATGGCTCACGGGCCCAGCCACTCCACGGCATGTGGGATCTTCCCGGACTGGGGCACGAACCCGTGTCCCCTGCATCGGCAGGCAGACTCTCAACCACTGCGCCACCAGGGAAGCCCCTGAATATTCTTATTATTAGTTACTTGGAAGTAAGAAGAAGAAAGAGGAAAAAGAGAAGAAAATAAGACTAAACAAAAACACAAGTCCCTCCAGTTAGAGATTCCTACATTAATGTCACTTTATCAGAGAGCCCCTTCCTTGACTACTCCTCCCTCTTTACCCCCAGTACGCAGACATGGCAGATATAGACTTGCGTGTTATGTCTCCCTCACTAGACTATAAACTCCATGAGAGCAGGATTATTGTTTTGTTCACTACTGCATCCTCAGTGTTTCAGACACTTAACACATAATACGTCTCTCAATAAATATTTGTTCAATAAATGAATGAATTTTCATACATCATGGATATATAGATATAGTTGCTTTATTTCATAATAGTGAGCAACCTGTAATAGATATTTATTAAACATGAATTTTGGGTGCTATTACTAGACAATGTTTGAAATCTGGCTTTACCTAACTGACTAAAACTTTTGGATGTCCTGTATCATTTTTCTCTAATCAATATGTAACATAGAACGTACAAGAAATATGTCGAAGTTTGAGGAATCAGAATATTTGGGCTGTGGCCACAAAGGGGACTTGTCAAGTGGCATTTGCTTGGTAAATTCATCATATATTAGTTCTGACTTCAGTCTTAGACAGACAAACATTCAATCTTCTTATTCAGTCTTCTTACTGGAGATAATAATATTTCCTGAATGATAATTTAGCCAACCAGAACTTCTCAAATTGGGGCATGCTTGCCTCCTGGGAATAGCTGGCTGAATGCCATAGCCACTCCCATGGAGATGAGAGCAGAAAGGTACAGATAAAGTGAGGCAGAGAGCTTTGGTCTAGGCCTAAGCTTAGGCAGGCTTCCAAACATTTTTCTCTACATGCTTCTATGGACAGAGATTGGGAATATAGCTTGAAAAAACTAACCTTGAATTCTAAGAATGTAACTTAAATATCTTTACATATTTTATAGTTTACTTCATAATATATCCATGTTTCTTTTTAAATAAAAATAATATTCTGACCCTCTTAATATCAAAACATGATGCTCTGGGTTGCTGTTCTCTCCCAGCAAGGGTGTGTGAAGCCATTTGTGTGTGGACTCAGATACCACTGACACACAGTGAAATAGAGTACTCAGCTTGGTAAGTGTGATTTAAGCCAACATTCATCCATTTATATATTTCAGCCACAAATACTGTGCCATGTGCTTGGGAAACAAAGATAAGCAAGACAAGTTTGAGTAACAAGCTAATAAATAAGTACAATGTGGTAATTTCAGTGATAGAGGTGGGCATAGGTTGCTGTGGGAATTGAGGGGGTGGTAAGTAGTTGAGCCTGAGTTAAGGGAAATTTTATTAGGACAAGCTTCCTAGATGAGTAGGATTCAACAAGCAGAAGAGACAGAGTAGAAGAGGCATGAAGAGAAAAATTAAGTGTATTTGCAAAATCCATCTTTACATAGAGGTATGCCTATTACCATGATGGCTATATCAAGAATTTGAACAAGAGTATTCCTAGAAAACATTTAAATGAACATTGCTGAAGTCTACTTCCCCCATTTTTTTCCATTTCAATTAAAAATCTGACCTTGTTAAACGGCACTTTTTTCTTTAGTTATTTAATACTTCAGTCTTGCTGGCTACGAGTTATTTAGTATTTTCTCTATTTATTCTAAGACTTTCTATCAATATATTAACTGTTCTTTTTTTTCTGAAAGACAGATCTCACTATAAATGTATCCATCAGTTGTAAGGTGATCCAGATTTGAGATGTTAAACTGTTTAAAAAGTATCAAATAATGAAGGAAAAAATGATGTTCCTGTCTTACTTTATTTTACCAGAGTGTATCACTACTCTGATTATACAGTATTTAAATTTCAGAGAGTAAAATTATTTTACGTTCAAGCCCTGAGTAGCACTTTACTGTCACTTTTGTATACTAGGCTTATATTTGTCATTATTAATATTAATAAATGTTTTGCTTTCAAAACTTTCCCCTCTACCTCTGCATCTTTCTTTGTGGAGGAAGTGAGGAAGAGAAGGAAGAACGTAACAGGAGTAAAATTATGTTGAAATATGGAAAATTGCTGTTTCTTGAGATTATTGTTGGTACTTTGGGTACCATATTATGTAGTCTTAAATGATGAAGATAATGTAACCCAACATATAAGCATAAAATTAAGCTTAGATAGAAGTAAACACCTTTTCTCCCACCCACCTCTCCTAGTACACTGATGTAGTCAGTGTGATCAAGTGTACTCTCAAGAGACTATGATTAGCTTAATAAAACCCCAACCACATGCTACTAAATGGTATAGATCCCACCAAAAGAATTACTGGAATAGAAAATCTGAATGTCTGACCCTCAAATAAATAAAAGAGTCTAAGATAATGAAACATCATTGTGTTAGGTCAAATTCTAACATGGTCTTCCAAGATTCTCTCACATGGGGGCTTCTGGATATGATGGGGTATTTACTCTCATGATTAGGTTATCTTACATGAGACAATGACTTAAAGAAAGCAAAGTTATCTGAGATAGACCTGATCTATCAGGTGAGCCCTTGAAAGTGACTGAGTTTTTGAAGAAAGATTTTGATGTGAGGGAGGTTCTCAGGCTTTGCTGGCTTTGAAGATGGAGGGGACCATGTGCAAAGAATGTGGGAAGGCTCTGAAGTGTAGTGGGGTCATTTGTTGATCCAGCAAGGAAACAGGGACTTTAGTGCTCTTGCTGCAAGAGACTGCATCCTGCCTCAGCCACACAAGTTTGGAAGAGAACTCTAAGCTCCAGATGAGCACGAAGCTTGGCTAAAACCTTGATTGTGGCTTTGACTTGAGATGCTGAGCAGAGAGCCTAACCTCACTCTTTTGGACTTCTCACCTACCTAACTGTATGGTAATAAATGGGTATTGTGTTAAGCCACTCTTTGTGGTAATTTATTATGCAGCAACAGAAAACTAATACAATCATGAAGACCAGTCTGAATAACTAAGCAACCTCTACCTTCTGCCTGGCACATACCAGCATCTCCCCACATGCAGTCACTTCTATCGGGCTTTTCTCACTTAACTAAAATTCTTTTCCATCTTAAAATAATAATAGTTAATATTTATTGATTACTTTCAACCTGCAGTACTGAGATATATGTGAATTATATCCTTCAGTTGTCTCACTGACCCCACATAGATGATACTATTTACTATTTCCATTTACTGAAGAGGAAACTGGAAGAATTAGATTTAGTACTCATCCTGATATGGCAAGTTGTTTAATACACACAGTGAGTTGGGATAAGAATCCAGATATTCTGATTTCAGACTCCATGTGCTTTGTTTTAGAAAATGAAAATAATGTAAAATTTTTTAAAAAATAGTGAAATTCCATCAGCAAACAACCACCACTGTTAACGATTTAGTGATCATTCTTTAGCAAGATTCCCTCAACAAATACACAAATGTATAAATTTGTATAAGTGGAGTCATATATAAATGTCCTTTTATAAAAAAAATGGCTATTTTCTTATTTCTTCTTTTCTCTATTTCCTCCCTTTCCTTTTCAATCAACTCTATTTTTATTTACCTTCTCACCTTGTTCCCACCCTAAGTAATAAATAGCTTTGCACTTCTTTCTATATGCTTGTGTTATACAGATACATAAAACAAAATTTCCTCATTTTTTGTGTATGTGTATATATATATATATATATATATATATATACTTATACATGTGTGTCTGTATATTTGTGTAATTTTTAGATGAGGTGTAATTTGTGTAATTTGTAAAGATGAGGTTATTTTATATAAAGTTATCTGTTTCCCTTCTTTATCACTTCAATATATGGCCACACAGAGCCTTGTGGAATATATTAAGGACTTTATATTATGAGAACAATGAAGAGTATTAAGCTGAGAAGGTGTCAAGATTGGATTTGTTTTGAAAAATTATCTTGGTTGCAGAATAGAGGAAGGTTGGAGTTGATGCAGGAAGACCAGTTAGTCATCTATTTTGGTGGTCCAAGCAAGGAATTATAGCGGTTTAGATTAGAATAGCAGTAGATGGTGTTAGTGAGAGGTCAATGGATTCAAATAGATATGTAAGAAATAAAATCTATAGGCTTCGGTGGAGGATTTGATAAGGAAAAGAGAGTTGTCAGTGATGTTTGTCAACGATTGTTTCCTAAGTTGTCAAAGATGTTTCCTAAGTTTCTAGAAAGATGGATGTTGGTTCCAATTTACTGAGTTGGTGCCATTTTCTTCCTGTTTTCCCCCTACTTGAGAAAGGCCAAGTTTGATCATAAGTTCAGTATGATTTTTAGGCTACAGAAATAGTAGCACAAGATAGGAAATGGGTAAACTCACAGGTGGCATGGCTAGGCCCTTTATCTGCTCTCACTCATGGGCATTTGAGGAATTCTTCAGCTGCCCTTAAGTGCTCATTCTTATGGATTTCCATTGAATTTTACCTGCTCTCTCCTTGAGGAAAGGAATGGATTTCTGTCCTCTCTGTAATGGTTTCCTCTCATCTCAGCTCTGTTTAGACGATTTTTTATTCCAACCAAAATAATCTTGCTACCCAGACTGGAATACACTGCAGAGATCTTCACTTAAAATTTTATACATTTTTTTTCTAATTACAAAAGAAATGTCTATTTGCTTAACATGTATACAGAATAATAAAGAATATAGAAATAAGTAGAAATCTATATAGTCTACTATTCAGTCATACTACCTGAATAGTGCCTCCTAAATTGTATAATTTGGAATCCTATATTGACACCTACTGTTAGCATTTGTGCTTTTACTTCCATTTTTTAAAAAGCAAAACAAAACACTGAGGAAGAAAATATACTGTATATTCATTTATACATATTTTCCCCCAATGAATACACTATGAGACATTTCCTAGTTTCATTTAAATTTAGCTACAACAAAGAAGCTGAGACAAAAAAACCCATAAACTTAAAAGATACCAAAGTACAAGTGATGATCCCATTTTTACAAATAAACTGTTTTCATTTCCTATACCTACAAAAGTGAGTCAAAAAGTGAAATTGCAATAAAATGCAATAAAAATGTATCATAGAAATTGTCAAATCATGAAATGATCAAATGGTGAAAGACACGGGAAGAGTGGATAGAATTTGTAACTAGCTATTAAGAGATCTGAAGTTTAAAATTCCTTCTATCACTCATAATTCAGAAAGCAGATGTACCCAGGGTTAGAAAGTATAGTCCCTACCTTTCTTGATTACTCTCATTTCTTCCTATTTCTCCTCCAAATTGGAGTATGGGGGATAGAGATAGCAGTATTTAGTGAGAACCTGTAATTTCCAAGATATTATAATATATTCTCTTATAATTTTGTACAATGAAAATTTTACAACATGCACAAAAAAGAGCAAATAATATAATGAATTCCATTTGTTCATAGCTTTAGCAATCATCATTATTTTCCTAATCTTGTTTTATACATTGCTGCCCTCCCCATTTTTTGTGCTACACTATTTTTTTTTTAACATCTTTATTGGGGTATAATTGCTTTACAATGATGTGTTAGTTTCTGCTTTATAACAAAGTGGATCAGTTATACATATACATATGTTCCCATATCTCTTCCCTCTTGCATCTCCCTCCCTCCTACCCTCCCTATCCCACCCCTCCAGGGGGTCACAAAGCACCGAGCTGATATCCCTGTGCTATGCGGCTGCTTCCCACTAGCTATCTACCTTACGTTTGGTAGTGTATATGTGTCCATGCCTCTCTGTTGCTTTGTCACAGCTTACCCTTCCCCCTCCCCATATCCTCAAGTCCGTTCTCCAGTAGGTCTGTGTCTTTATTCCTGTCTTACCCCTAGGTTCTTCATGACATTTTTTTCC